GCGCGCGCACACACACACACACACACACACACACACACACACACACACACACACACACCTTATTAACTGTTTACATTGTTCATACTGTGGAATGAGCCCCTTTGTGCCATTCCCAACCCCAGTAGCTACCCATGACATCACACTGACCTGCTTCTCTCTGTCAACATAGTACCTTGACATTAATATCTAGATTAATATCTATAAATGGACTTATGAATAAATGGTGGGTAGGACTTGTGTTAGAAGGAGACATGTCAAGGGAGGTGCAGAAGGAGCTATTTAGAAAAGCTCCCTATCTCCTCTAGGTGAGGGGTGAACAAATTTCAGCCCATTGCACAAATCTGGCTCATCATCTGTTTTTGCAAATAAAGATTTATTGGAAGACAGCCATTCTCATGTGTTCACAAATGCATTGCCTATAGTTACTGTGTCAGCAATGGCATGTCCCACACAGCTGAAAATACTTATTATCTGATTCTTTACAAAAGTTTGTCCGTCATGCTTAAGATTAGTTAATATGACTTTTAAAGTCATAAGTAAGAAGTTTTTGAGTTGCCAACTTTGGGGAGGTATTGAGCACACTGTCTTGGCTATGACCTAACTGTCTAAGGAATATGAACATTCTGTAAAAAGAAAAACCTTAAAAGATTTAAAAACCAAATTGTTTTTATTTTTGAGAGACAGCCTGGGGCTTTAACATGTGCAGCATGCCTGTGTATAATGGAAGATACCATGCCCCATGCTTAATTCTGGCTAGGTCAGCCTTAGCAACTTGTCCCATGCCTCTCAAATTCCTGCTTTCTCAGAGCTATAAAAAGTGGGTCATAAGCATTCTATCTGTTTTGAAGAGTAAAACGATGCATGCAAAAGGATGTGTGAGGGGGCAATCAAAGGGAGATTTGGAGATAGAGCAAAGGGTCCTACCACTGAATCAACATTGTAACCTTTGGCAAGTTGTTTAACCTCTGCCCCTCAAGTAAGTCATAGTAATAAATAACTGGGTTGGGAGAATTAGTAGAGACACCTTGATTGATGCCTGTCACCTAGTATCAATATGTTCATGGTTATGATCAACATAATTACTATATTTTTATTTATATTGATAGTATTTAAGATACTTCGCATGTGTCAGGTCTTAAGTTCCCATAAGTATTGACTACTGCTACTATACTGTTGTATCACCTGTGTGGAGGAGCCACACCAATTGTTGGGAGAAATGTATTCTGTCTTCTCCTACTAGGCCTGAAAGGCTCCTCGAGATTCAGTGGCTTTGAAAACTGTGTGGATGCCTGTCCTCTTTCATTACCACTGTCCCGCCATCTCCTCCTGTTGGCTCAGTTCTTTGACAGGCTTCAGTGGTAGCTGGAGGGAGAGGTGACTAGTAGCATCCGCCAACACAACCAGCTGTTGGTGGCAAAGTACAGAAAGTGACACACTTTCCTTTAACAAGAAGGTATTTACTGCCTGCACTCAGTGCCCAGAAGCGTGTGTGGTGACTGCTCACCTGAGAAGCCCAGGAGCTATGAGAGAGAGTGACCAGTTGCCCAAGGCAGAATCCTCTCTTGGCTGTATTTGTTGCTCCTGAGTCACTGACCCGGTACCTGACAGAAATAGCTTGAGGGAAGAAGGCTTTACTCTGGTCCATTGGTTCAGAGAGTGTCAGTCCACCACACGAAGGTATGTCCAAGCAGCTCAATTTATGGGTACCTGGCAGACATTGTCCACATCAAAGTAAAATAGACCAGGAAGCAAAAACAGGAAGTGAGCATGGATAAACCACAAGGACTCACCCTGAATAACCTACCTCCTCCCAAATTTCCAGAACCTCCCAAAATAGTGCCACCAATTGGGGATCAAGTGTTTAAAGCATGAGCCTTTGGGGACGCTACAGATTCAGAATACAGCACTGTGGTTTGGTTGTGGGTTGTTCCACACCTATCCTTAAGCCAAAGGCTTAGTTTTCAGTGTAAGTGGTCTTGAAGGGTAGTAGGGTCTCATGGTTTGGTCATTATGGGTATGTCCATTGAAGGGATTGACACTGGTCTCATAGAGTGACCCAACCCCTAAATCTCTCTGATGTCCCTCTTGCCATGTGATCTCTGTCACACACATTTTATCATTGTGATTCTACCCACCTTAGATCCTCACCAGAGGTCTAACTGCCCAGTCTTGGACTTTTAGCCTTTGAAACTGTGGGCTTTTATGTTGCCCCGGCACAGACATTTTGTTTTAGCAACAGAGAAAGGACTAAATACAGGCTTGGTATACAGTTAGAGCTGAGCTCCATGAATAAAGCCAAGAATCAAAGACTAGAAAGGCTTTCCTCACCGCAGGGTCTCCACCCACAGCTGGCTGACTCCCTGAACTGTGGACTGAAAAACATTCTCCCTGAAACAAAAGCAAAGCTTTGAAGTCTGTACCATGCATGTGTGTGTGCATGCATGCACAGATTTTAAACACTTGCCAAGGCTGAGATCCTGACCTTCCAGAGTCAACAAAACCTCCTAAGGAGACACACAAGGCTCGCATGGAAGAAAATTCTTGACAGGATGAGCTCACAGACAAATTCACACATTCCTGGGGGAAGGTATTATGAGGGCCAAAACCTGTAGACTTGGAAGTTCGCATCTCAGAAACCACAGAACACAAAACAATCTGAAAGGAAAAGTGGCTATTATTTAAGTGCCTACCCCATCTTGCTATCCTAGATATGGCACCTGCACATAAGCAAGTCATTATTCTTTGGAAATACAAAAGGCAAATACACGTGAAAGGCAACCCCCAGACTATGGCCCCATAAAAAAGCCAGGAAGAGGTTTGTCTTAAGATTTCTATTGCTGTGATGAAAAACCATGACCAAAGTAACTTGGGGAGGAAAGGGTTTATTTGGCTTACACTTCCACAGCACTGTTTATCACTAAAGGAAGTCAGGACAGGAACTCAAACAGGACAAAAGCATAGCGGCAGGAATACTACTTATTGGCAGGCCTACCTTACAGCCTGGTCTTATGGAGACATTTTCTTCTCAGAAGACTTTAGCTTGTGTCTAGTTGACATAAAACTACCCAGCACACATAGGCTCTAAGACCTGTCCTCTTACCCTGTTGGGCAGAGGCAGCCACTATGTTTTGGGTTGTGTGAAGTGATGCGATGCCTACACAAGGGCACAGTAGACTCACCTGAAGATTTGATTGGAGAAGTGTTTTGGATGGGACCTTAGTGAGATTTGTCAATGGATCCAATGTGCCTCATGAGGGTAAGGAAAGACACTGGGACTGGGACTGGGGCTGAGCGAGGGGCTCAGGAATAGGGAGCCCAGTCCCCTCTCACCATTGGAGTCTGGAGGTGATGGGGCGAGGTCAGGTGCTGCAGAGGTCAGAGCCGAAGGCAGTAGAGGAAGCCAGTGTTCTCAAATGTACACTTTACACTTTTCCAGGTAGAGTGGAACCAAGAGATCTGTGCATGTCAGTAAGAAAAATAGTTTATTGCTCACAGTTCTGAAGAGGAAGGATCCCACAACACCCCACAGGGTCATATGAGGAAGTACCAGAAAGCAGGGAGGAAGGGGACAGTGTCTGAAGGTCCCTTTATTGTAGTTTCTGCAGAAGAGACTAGATGAGGCATAGGAGGAAGACGCGACGTCAGCTAGTGTGGAGGCACAGCTGTCCCGGGTTCTCTGCTGCTCAGTCCTGTGGTGATCCTAGCAGGAGGACTGTTGCCAGGTAAGACTCTGATCTAGTTGTAGAACATGGTTAAGGTACGGCCTCTTGATTGGTTTGTTTGTGATTAAAACATGGAACCAAACCTCTCATTATTTCTAGGAATGAGTTAGCCCTTGGCAGAGCTGGGCAGAGTGCTCCAGGATGAACAACGCCCCACACATCCAGACATTGGAAAGTTAAAAAGCACAGCTGACATATAACCAGGTATAGGTACAGGACAAGGCCATCAGTGTAAGATGGCATCGTCAGTGTGACTAGGTAGGGATTTGGCAAAGACTTTCATGAGTGCAGGTGCTCTTTGGTGATGAGAAGATCTGTGACACAGGGGTGATTTCTGCCCCCGCTGCCTCAGTGAATCTGAGAGCCAAAGCCTAGTGAGACGCTTGGGGATGCATACAGCTCATGTCATCTTTGAGTGAGGCAGGACCAGCTGACATTTTCCAATGGGCTGGAGGCGAAGGAAATGCTTCAGAAGGCAAGGAAGGGGAGTTCAGGGACAACAAAGGTAGCTTGCCTGAAGGTGGGCACTCCAGGGTGTTACACTTAAGCACTTTGTCATGAAGCAGGTACAGAAGAGACTGTACCTGTGAATGAATACTGTCAAAGGTGAATACAGCTGTCCACAGCCACCACGCACCTGTCTTGGTGCCAAGTAGAAATCCTTGTTGAGTTGTTTGCTTAGCCATTCATTAGCCCTCAGGAAAGGGCAGCACAGCTTAATGCCAACCCAAAGGAGTCATACTGACCTATCGTTTTCCCAAATGAAAGCTTCTAGTCTCACAGTATCCAAACAAATGAGGAGAAATAAAGTCAAGATTTAGAACACTAGAGGGCAGAAGAATGGGAGGAAGTCGGCCAGGTGTAGCAAGAAGATAAATAGGAGGGGACAGACGGATGAAACCAGACCTGAAGAAAGGGCTGCTGCTTTCTAACAGTACAAGGAGAGCAAAGGCAACTCCAGCTGGCCCCAGCCCTACTTGCAGTGTAGCTTGGTAACAACTCCTTGGTAAGAGCCCCCATGCATGACACACTCTTGCCCTGTATTCTTGTCATTGTATTGAGGTCTGTGTTACATGAGGATGTCTCAGGAGTGTGGA